TGTAGGGTGGGGACTGATGCCCACTCACCCAGGCAGAGGGAGCTTCTAGAGCATTTCAAGGCCTCTGCCCATCCCTTACTTCTGGGAGTCCCCCCGGAATCCTGACTGGCCCTATTTCTGTGGCCCACAGGGAGGTCCAAGCTCTGTAGAAATCGATAGGGAAGAGTTTTCAAGGGGTTGTAGAGGTGGGAGACAGTGGCTTAAGGCCTCAATTCCCCAGGCCTGAGGGGAAAAGTAGCTTCTTATACCCTCAGGTATGCATCTCTGGGGCCTTCTGGGACTCTTTTTGGAGACAGATATGTGGCACAGTGCCTCTACAGTTTCCTGCTTTCTGCCTTTGCAGGGTATGAGCAGAGCCCCCCACTCCACCCCTCCTTACCCACAGGCTGACAGTGGATATAGTACTCCAGGGGAGGCCTCCACTTGGAAGGAAGCCAGGGGATCTGGGATCTGGCAGGAATCGTATCTCTGCCAGCAGCATCTCCTTTTGCTGGGGTGCCTCCAGGTACCCTTAATGCTACCTCTTAGGACATGGAAGTCCTCCCAGACCTCATGACTTCTGCCCCCGACAACCTTGGGGCTGTGTTCCTGGCTGGCTGACTTAAGGGACCCTAGTGTACTTCTTGCCCTCTCTTGGGAATCGTAGATGGGCCCTGTCCAAAGTGTGGAAGCTCAGCTTGGCTCCCCCATGTTCTCTTGGAGGTCTGAGATGTTAGAGGGAGCAATGGGCCCCCAGACTGCATCTCTGCATTCCACTGAACCCTGTATTAACAAGGAAAACTAGGCTGTGGGGTTTTCAAGTGGCCACAGCTAAAAGAGATCAAGTCCAACTGTTTGATTTAATGAGAAAGAAACTAGGCTGAAGTAGAGGAGACTAACTAAGGCCACACAGAATGATAATGGTGGATCAAATACTTGAACCAAGCCAATCTGGAGAATGGATCTGCACATGACCTTCAACTGGAAATTGGACCTGGATCTCAATCCTCGACATGGAATGTTGACCAAGACTACTTTCCAGGCACTGAAACTTGAATGTGGACATAAATTTGTCCTGGATATCAGACTTGGATGTATAACTTCAGACATTGACCTTGCACTAGTCTCTGGCCTAGGTCCCAGACCTGAGGTTGGACATGGACATTGAACCGGGACAGTGTGTATACCTGGATTCTGGCCTGGATGTTGGATCTGGACATAATCTTTGGATCTGCACCCCTGACATGTCAACCTGGACCTTGGATCTCAACCCAGACCAGGAAGCTAAGGGGTGTGATGATAATAAAAGACTCAGATAGGCTGTGTGATCTCAGGCACCTCGCCAGCCTTCTCTGGGCTAAGAGATTGGGTAGGCTGTTTGCACCCTGTGTTCCACATGAGCTTTTTGAGGTGCTGGGTAGGAGTACAACAGCTGGGGCCACTGGCTGGGTACCAGGCCCAGGACAGAGTGACTACTCGACTACTCGGCGCCATCAGGGAGAGTGAGAGGAAGCAAGTGCTGATGTGATGTGGTCAACCAGCTAAGCCCCTGGATAGCAGTGGGAGCGCTGCCTCAGCCTGCTGGGGGAGGCTTAATGCAGCTGCAGAGGGCAGACAACTGCGTTATTGGATTGGCATTGATCCCTCATCTGCCGGGGTTGGATGCACTTTGAGAGGGCATGGGGGTAGTACAGGGCTGGGGTGCAGAGGGAGGGGCACTGGCTCCTGGCTAGTTTGGCATTAAATGTGAGGAAAGGAGAATGCTCCAGAAGATCACTGACATGCAGATGGATGCACAGCCTCCAGGGCTGCTGAGAGTCCCAGGTTGCCTGAGGAAGCCTAGGCCTGCAAGGGGTGGGCTTGGGGACATGGCTCTGAGGGGGTCTGGAGGGTGTGAGTTGGCGTGTCACAGAGACTGAGTCTGTTTTCAGAGTGCCTCTGAGAGAAGAAGGAGGGGGAGGCTCCATGGAGGAGCAGAGAGGCAGGGAGAGGAGAGAGGCATTTCAATGGAGGGGTCATGGAAATGAGATCTGGTCCCCCTTCTTTGGGGAGCTCTGCAGAGACACCTGGTGCTTTCCCATTTGGGGGCAACCCTTCCCTGTTTTGAGATTCTGTGGGCTTTGGGCAGCCTGTGGCCTAGACACACACCTGCTGTGCCTTATGCCAGGCAGGAGGTGGAGGGTGGGATACAGGAAGAGAAGGACTTGGGGAGAGGAGGGGGAATCCTCTGAGAGAGAGAGAGAGAGAGAGAGAGAGAGAGAGAGAGAGAGAGCGCGCTCTGGAAGTTCTGTAGCATTCCTAGGCCTTCCTTCAGCTGGGGGTGTACCTCTATAACTTGGAGTCCTGCATCTGTATGTTAGGAGCCTTGCCTTCTCAGACCTCCTCATTTGCAGCCTGAAGCCCCTGCCCCCAGCCTCATCCTGATCCCGATCCCGAGCTGCAAGAAAGGCTTGTAAGAAGATCTGTCTAATAACTGGAACTATCTTCAGCCCCAGGCCCTCCCTCCCCTGACCATCTCCCTCTCTCCTCCCTCCCTTCCTTCTCCTTCCCTCTCCTCATCTCCCCCTCCTCTCTTTCTCCTTGTTTACCCGGCACACTTACACATGCTGGGAGAGAAAAAAACGTCGGCTCAGCAATTTTTCACACTTCCCTCAAATGCTCAGCAAGGTTATTTCCGGCAGAGCGGAGACAACGGGCTACCAGGAGCCTGCGGGCTCGCTGAGGAGGCCCAGTATCCACCCTCATGGAGTGAAGGAGCCCTCACTGGCTAGTCTGGCCACACCCCAGGAAAAGGCAATTCTCTGGAAACAGTATGTGACAGACCCTGTGTTTCCTGGTCTTACCCGGGCTTGAAGGGACAGCTGCTTATATCTAGCACTGACAGTCCACAGTAGACACTGCCAAGGTGGCCAGCCCTGTCCTTACTGCAGGGCAGAGACTGAGCTAAGAAATATGCCTGATTCTAGAAACTATGCCACTTTCAGCAAGGGGCATGTGTTTAACAGAGCCCCCAAGGAAATCCTGACAATGGCTTCCTAACATTCTGCTAGATCCAGATGTCTACAGGGCTTCCCACACTACACCTGACCTTCACAGGAGCTGAGCTCATCCAAGTTGGAAGGATGCTTGGTTCATGGCATCCATACTCTTTGACTGCTAGGGAGGGGCAGGACTAGAGAAGGAAAGGAACTTGCCCAAGGTCACACAGCAAATGAACTAAAAACCCAGGCCAGCCAGGCTATAGGACAGTCCCAGAATCTCTCCGAGGCCAGAGCCTTGATCTGGAGCCCCTGGAGAAAGGGATGAAGGTGGGGTTCTCCAGATATCAGAATTGGTGGAAACTCCACAGAAACAATACTGGCCCCACAATTCACCCAGGGGCTCCCTTCAGAACCTTTAAGGAGTGAATTTAAGGCAAGACTTTTTCCTGCCTCCCTCTGAGGCACAACCTGCAGTTTTGCCTATATGTTGGGAACTCTGGGATTCTATGGTTTTCCTCAGTTGGCAGAGAACAGGACCTAGGGACCTCAGTGGCTGGGATCCAGGAGTTTTGTATCAATGCTTTAAGGGACTCACATCCCAGTTTTGCAAATATTTTATTTTCTACCAGTGCCCAGTCTTGGCATGGCCCCAGGTCCACCCTCTGTGTTGCCAACCCTCATCCAGGCCATATCCTTGGGCCTTTCATCCCAGGAGGTGCTGGGGCTCAGGATGGAGGATAGCAGAATAAGGGGCATATGGGCAAAAGAGAAGGGGATTCTGTTGGGTAGATGGGGGAGGCCAGGAGCTGAGGGTCTCCTCAATCATTCCCTGACTTCTTTGACCTTGATGAGGTCACAGAGCCCTTTGCCCGGCACCCCTTCTCTACCTGGCATGACAGAGTACTGGAATGTGAGTGAAGAGCTTGGAAATCCCTAAAACAGATTTCTTCCTGTCTTTGCCATCTCAGCTCCCCCTCTCCCTTAGCCCTTTTTCTTCTCTCTCTCTCTCTCTCTCTCTCTCTCTCTCTCTCTCTCTCTCTCCTCAAAGCTGATGCCACAGATGATGTCAGATCTCTCACTACTAAATGGACTACTCCTCTCCAGACACCTGCCTGGTGGGAACCATCAAAGGAGAACCCTTTTGTGATCCCCTTGGTAGAGGATGGGGCCCACAGAAACATTCTCTGCTGTCTGAGCTCCAGAGACCACACCATGTGAGGCCTGAATGACATGCCTTCTTCTATCCCCCAAACCCTTGTCCCTACAGGAACTTGCTCTGAGAAGAGGTAGAGTGTGGGGGTGGGGCACAGGGTGGAGAGGCATACAGGGGTATTAAGATCGGTTCAGGAGGGGGTGAGAAGCTGGGAATGGGAGGGAGTGCCATCCAGGGACCAGGAGCCACTGTAGGGGAACCCCTCACAGAAATTCCCTCTTCCTTGCCATCCCCAGGACAGGCCCAGCCTTTGGCAGGCATGTGGCTGAGGCTAACAAAAGAGTTGTTGAGAGAGGGGGTTCTGAGAGCACTTATCTGGGATTACCAAGGGGAGCAGGTTTGAAGGGAGAGAGAATGTTTGAAACGAAGGAGAGTGGCCCCAGCTACCCCCAGAGAGTTAGCCCCATCTCCCCAGAGAGTGTCACTCCAGACCCCTCTGCCCTCCACACTAGGTTCACTCAGGCAGCCAGCCCTGTCCCTCAGCCAGGGAGAGGAAGGTACCCTCTAACGCTTGTGCTTCCGTCCCCAGCACGGCCTTTCCTGAGCTTCCTTTCTGTTCTCTCAGCACCCCTTCCCCAGTCCTGGCTAGGGCCAGAACTTTGAAAGTCCCAGCTGGCTGGTGGCTGCGGGATGGGCCGACCTAGCGACTTTCCCTTTGTACGGCCGAGCCCCAGCCCCGCCCGCCGGCCCTCGGGAAGTCCTGGAGGCGCGCACTGCCGAGGAGAAATCTCCTCCGGGGTTCCCAGCAGCGCGCGCCCCTCCTCGTGGCCCAAGTTGGGGAGGGCTCGAGCTCCCCTGCCCTCTCCGCCTCGCTGGATCCCACTCACCGTTGTCCCCGGGAGGCCCCCGGACTCCAGGCAGCACGTAGGCGGTCTCCAAGGGGTGGTAGGTGGGTGCCGGCACCCCGCTGCACTGGAAGCCGTCGCCTTTGATCTTCTTCACCAAGAAGGAGCGCGGCATGGTGCAACCGGCAGGGGCTCGGCGGGCACTTGCGCGGAGCGGGGCTGGGGAGGCGGCCCGCGGGCGCGATTGGCTGTGCGCTTGGGGTTTCAGCACTGGACAGCTCCCAGCGGGCGGGCGGG